ATGACAGCTAAAGAAAAAACAAAATATAATAGCAAGTATCTCCCTATTTCATCATGATTTCATAGCTACATTTGTACATGTATCCTACCATCCCCACTCCCTCCTTCCCTCTCTCTCTCCCTCCCCTCTCTCTCTCTTCCTCTCCCTCCCCTCCCCCCCTCTCCCTCTTTCTCCTCAGCTATAACTGACCTGTCTTTGACTTCTTCCAAGGACATTGATAGTCCTAATGATGTACAGTTTAAAGCAACACAACACGTTAACATTACATAAAAATTTACCCAATCTCTCGATTTGAGGCCAAGTGTCCTTGGGAGTGGCCAAACTACAAAAAGATTATTTCCATTATCTTATGCGTCATACATGTATAAACCCTCCATTCTCTTTCTCTCTCTCTTTCCTTTGCTATCTCACTCACACTGTCTGTCTCTGATGCTTTCTTCTGTGATGCCTTCTCTGACTAATAAAATAAATACAGTTATTTGTGTACATCAAGCCATGTTGATGCATTTTATAAGAATGCAAATAGCAATCAAATTGCAAAATAGAAATTTGTAATCAAAAAATGAATCTGGCAACCAAAACTAATTCCTGTTATACTGTACCTGGTCTGTTCTCCTCTCACAACTCTTGATCCAAATATTCTTCTCATTTCATTCTCAGCATTTAAATTTCTAAAATTAATAATAATAATAATGATAATAATCATATTATTATCATGGTCATTTTCTTACCTTCTGTCCACGCATAGCAATGGTCTCTGGTTGCAAGGGGTCCTGGAACTACTAGATTCTGATTGAGACGAGCTAACTGTTTCCAGACCCCCTAGCATATCAGTAACTTCTCTCAATGCTGCCTCAACCTCATCCTTAAGAAAAAAAATTAATAAATAATTTTAATTTCATGCATAGCATATTTTTATGCATCTAAATATATGTACTTACTTCATTAGAGACAGTTGGAGTGGACTGGTTTTGTTTATTTGTTGCTCTTTTCTTCTTTTTCTTTTTCTTTCTAGAACTGCTTTGACTAGTAACAGCAACTTTTGATGTTTGTTCTTCTTTCTCTTCCTCCTCCTCCTCCTCTTCTTCCTGTGGACTCTCATTAGAATCGTTCAACTATAAGGTACATGCATAATAATAATATCAGTTTAAACTACTACTAATGAAATTATAGACAATATTACATGCATATTAAAAAACTCATTTAAATTTTTCATCTCTTCTAAGCTAAAATAAGAATTGGCTCAAACTCTCTGCATAGCATAAGAGGCTAAAAGCACCAACAAATATACATGTACAATTAAACAATATACAACCAACAAATATACAATATAAAAACGTAATTGATCTCTTTAATGTCTTTATGCCCAATTTTGGAAACAAGCCAGTGGATATGACTTATGAAGCTCAAAATTTGTGATCAGAATCGACTCAAACAGCATAGTTTGTATTTTGTTATTTTAAACACATTAGATATTACCCAATCTACTGTGCTAATTCAGTGAGAGGTCATACCATATCAAAAGGATTAAATTTATTCTTTTTCTGTGACTGCAAAGATACTGGCTGTAATGAAATGTCTCCTTCTTCATCTTCATCCTCTTCCTCTCCTCCAGTACCTGCTGGTAGTTTAATAGTAAAAGGGTCACCTCCTAGTCTTCTGAAGGCTCTAGAGGACATAATGAGGGTTAAAAATAATGTAATGCCACGCCTATTGTTATCAATGCCACGTGCATACACGTGGTCATTCAGTTTTGACTTTTGAACTCTATGCTTTTTTGCAAAAGCATACCCATATCCATATCTTTATGCTGCAAAACAATTGAACTAAGCAGATGAAAAGGCAGAAGCTACATACGAGTAGAAACCAATGATCTGCCAATATACACTATTATACAGTATACCAAATTTATTCTTCTTACAAAAATTCAACAATAACAAAATAAATGTAACAATTATAATTCAAAATAATAATAATAATAATTTTTAAGTACAATGACACACATTCTCTATATTCTTGTCAAGTACAAGAGAGTCACTCCTCTCTCTCCCCTACTTCTAATGACAATTTCTACAGTTAGGATGACACCTGGTTCCATTAACACCACACCTACACCCACCACTGGTATCACCACGACCCTACAAACATTCATAAAAATTACATAAATTACATTATACCAAGAGTAGCTACTTTTGATTATACATACTGTACATTATGCACGTGTCAAAAATTGCTAGTGTGTGGTGCATGAAACATTACTTTTGGTCCCCATCTTGGCCCTTTAGTAGCCCAGCACATTTCTGTCTTGCACAAGACACATCTGATCCAATCACTACCAAGCTTCTTAGTAATAATAATCTTGCAGTGTGGGCAATGCATTGCTTCACCATCAGTCATCATTTTCTAACGAGTTAGAGAAGGAAAGGGAAGAGAAAAGGAAAGAAATATAGTGTTAAAAGTATGCTAATAGCATTGATTTTTACTTCAAGCATTGCTTGACTCTCTTTTTCTGCTTCATCATTAGCTGCCTTTATCTTCAATTCATACTGCTGGCAGCTCTGCCCTTCGTGTTGAGCT